GCACGCCCCCTCCTCCCTCTCCTCTCCCTCTCTGCACACAGCCCACCCCTGCGCACATCCGTGTGTGGGAAGGTGCCTGCCTGCGTGCTGCGCACTACTGCACACGCGCATTCACGAAATTCGCCAACCCTACGCATAACTAGGGTCTAGCTGAGCACGTCACAGCCGCCGCGCGGCCCCCAAGCCCAAAAGCGAAAGTATTAGGGTTTCTAGGGTGTAGGGTTTGCGAGGCTACCACCAGCCGGAGGGCTCACCCACAGAGAGTCCTTCCACGAAGCGAGAAGCAGCCAGAAGGCCCCCCAGCTGAGATCTCTCTCTGTTTGTGTCTGCCTGTCTTCAGGAAGATGCTGCCCATTCTCAACGACCAGGCGACGCCGCTCAAAGCCAAAGCAAAGCGTTTCTTTGACATTGATAAGGATGCGATTGCGCTTTGGAAGGAGACTATACGTATTCTACTTAGAGCTCCCCTAGGTGGACCGACATCAGAAGGACTTCACTTCCACCTGCCGCGCTCCACACACACGCCCATCCGCTGTCCCTCCGCACACAACACAGGCAAACTTTGAGTGAACACAATATCCTCACACGATTCAGCTTCTGGCGTGCACCTTCCCTGCACAGACACACCAACTGCCCCCCTCTCCCTCTCTCATTCAACGTATGTGTGTGTGTGTGTGTGTGCAGGAGCTGGTGGTTGAGTCTCGTTCCCGTGAGTTGTATGCGCGAACACCCGTCGGGCGGGTGCTCGACGTCATGGGCTGGGGCATGTCGGCCGTCTGCTGCTATCGGGTGGAAAGAACACACTCGGCAACCAGCACATACAAGTGGAGCAAGTGCTGGGTTGGTCTCAGGTTGCAATGTCCGTGAGCAACGTGATGCTGCGGCGGGTGATCCAGGAGGACCCTGCCAGCCTGTTCCTCTCGGCCGCATTCGGCCTGCTCAGGGTGAGCGAACCGCCAAACGAGTCGATGGCAGATTCACGCATTAGGTGTGGTGGGTCTGTCTGTGAGTAGGTGCCGATTGACGTGGCCGTGTGGTCACCCTACGTGTCGCTGCTGTTCCTCGGGCTCATCATCGCCCTCAACATCAGAGGATTCATATCAAAGGTACGCCACGCCCCTCCCTCCCCAAACACAGACAGACACGCAGAACAAATGTTGGTCAAATGTTTCTGTGTGTGTGTCCTACTTGTGTGCGCACGGCGCAGCTGTTGACGGTGTTTCGTTTCGTGTCGACGTCGGTGTCATCGAATGTGTTTGCTCTGGCCATGTCTGAGATCATGGGCCTCTACTTCTCGGCGTGTGCACTGCTCCTCAGGATATACCTGCCAGAGCAGTACAGGTGAGTTGGTTGTTTCGCCACATCTGTCCGAAAGCATCCATCCAATGGCTGGCTGCCGGATGTCTTTCTGTGTTGTGTGTGTGGTCACACAGGGAGGGCGTGACGAGTGTGATGGGTCCGTCTATCGACTTTTCGGCGTTCCATCTGCATTTCGACCTGGTCTTTTGCCTGTCGTGTGTGGCGTCCTTTGTGCTCATAGCCTTCACGCACACACACAGATTCGACAAATTCAAGGCCTTCTGATGACAGGGATGTCTGCGTGCAGTTAGTTGGCTGCCTGCCTGCCGATGGATGGATGGATTGGTGCACTGCATGGTGCCGCTGTGTTTTATGCCGTCGAGAGACAAGAGAGATGACACAAGGATGGAGTCTTGTACAGATGGATGTCACGTACATTAACTAACGACATATCTGCTTCATTCCCCGGCCCCTCCAACCTTTACTCTTGACAACCAGTAGCATCCGTGGCTTTCTCGGAAATCCATCAACACACAAGCCTTCGCGATTGAAAGGGCGTCTCATTTCATGCCTCAGCGTCTCAATGAATCACCATCCATCCATATGAATTTACTGCAACATCCGTGTCTCTGTCTTTTGTGTCGATCGGCACACCTGAGCAGCCGTCAACTCATTCGTCCATCAATCTCACTTCAATCACTGTCCGTCTGTCTGAGTCGGTCTGTATGGCTGTGTGGCTGTTGGCGACATGATCATTTTCGGAGCTTGGAAGAGTCGCACCGGACCAGCTGGTCGAACGTCGACACACGGTGGCGGTGCGATGCACCCCGTCCCCTACTGCAACAAATGGAGACACACACATGTACCAAGATGCACAAGAAGAACACGCTAGACGAGAACAAACACAGCACACTAAGCGCAAGGAGTCACTCACTCAGTCCGTCGGGACCCCCACGCATGGTCGTAGCTACACAAAACCCTGAGTCCTCAGAAGCAGGTCCACCTCAGAGATGTTCTTCCCATCAGAAGTAGTGGCCATCGGCCCATCAATATCGGGACTGCAGGTAGGCTTGGCGGCTATTAAGTTCTTGTACGGTCGGGGGTACTCGGCTGAAGCCACCTCGGCCTCGACAGGCCGTAGGTCGCCCTCGGTGATGTCCGCCAGCTCTGGGAAGGACCGGTGGCATCCAGGGTCATGTGCAGAGGTCCGCTTGAAGCGCTTGACATACTCGATTAGATGTCGCCTTCCATCGTGTCAAGACAGACAGACGGAGAGGCGCAGAGAGACAGAAGGACACACGCTCGACGGAAGGGGACAGAACACGCGTTGAGTGCGTCAGTGCATGATTGTGTCTCCCTGCACACCTGAACAAATCGGTGAAGCCGACAGCGGCCTCGACGAAGTCAGCCTTCAGTTTTCCCACTGCAGAATTCAGCTTGCGATGACGGGTGCCGCTCTGCACACACACACATATGGCGCGAGGGCTGTATAGACGCGTGCAGCCTTTGCTCGCATACGTAGTGTACCTGTCTGGCAGCCACCTCACCTGTAGAGCGAGTTCGTGGCAGATGCGATCGATAGTCTCGTGCAGCCCCTTGAGGTTGCTTCTCTCCCACTCGATCTCCTGCCGCCACTCATCCCGCACCATCATCCGCTGCAGCGTCATGTGGTCGCGCATCACTAGATTCTGCGGGAATAGGACCGAATTGATGTCGTCGTTGGCTTCGGTGCCTAACACATCGTGGATGGCGGCCTCGACCGCCCGCAACACCACGTGAAAGGGCGGGGGGAGGCAGTAGAAAGGCAGCCTGTGTCCGCAGACGGGGTGGGCCACTGTGCATGTCATCTTTCGCCAGAAAAGGACATCAAAACTGCCACTGATGCACGAGGCCACCTGGATACGTCGGCGGCTTTTCACGTCGGGCGTCAGCAGGGTAGAGATGGCCTTGGAGAGCACAGCAACGACCCTCTCGGCGCATGTGGCCTCCAGCTGCGGGTCAGGCGGCGGTTCCCATCCAGTGTCGCGGAACCTCTCGTTGCGTGTCGTGATGGGAATCACCAAATAGCTGCCATAGCTGACGCCTCTGTCGCAAATGATGGGGCCGGTGCCTGGTGGCGGGCGGTGCTTGGCATAATCGATATTTTCCGAGTCGATCCCCAAGGCCGCAACGCAGAACAAGCGATTGGTGTCGAACGTCTTGACATGGACATCCAGCTGCACCTCTATAGGCACCTCCGTAGGCTGTCTGCTGTGCTCCTCGATCGCTTGCCTGATAGCCTCCTGCTTCTGCCGCTGCTGCTTGAAGAAGACGTCCTCACTCATCCAGTTGAGGACCATCCTGACGGCATGGCGATTACCGCGTAAAGGCTCCCCGTCGTAGAGCTGTTTGCCGAGCCGGCACATGGCCTTGTTGTGCCGCCCCTGCTGAAAATGCTGCTTGAGACACGCGTCGCTGCAATAGCGGGGACTCACCTCCCGCACACAAAACTGACACACCTTCAATCGCTGGCCGGGCTCAGGTCGCTTGCCGCACACGATACACTGCTGAAGCTCCAGGTCAGGGTCAGGCGTCGAGGCGTCCAGCCGCACCTTGTAGCCGGCCATTTCGCTGAAGCTGAAGGGGAGGCGGCCACCTGAGGCGCTTGACGTGCATGTGGCTGGTCCAGTTGCTGCATCGCCGATGCTCGTAGAGGCGAGACGGGCCATGAGTTTCGAAGTGCTCAAACGTGCAGTGGGGCCAAGTGGGCTAGTAGCCAGTGGGGCTGGGAGGTCCAGCCCGCCCAAGCCATGGCATCAAAAGAAAGAAAGAAGCACACAGCATGGCGACAATTAAAGCACTCAGACTCGAGCAGGCTTACACCAACCGGACCAGCGAACAGCGGTTTCAGGAAGCACCCTAGGCGGCCTGACGGCCAAGACGAGCAGTTTCACGGACCAGGCTTTCTTGCCCACTAGGACATTTCGTGAAACCGCTCGAGAGAGAGGTCCCAGGTTGAGAGTTGCCGAGTTGCCGTACCTGTTGAGTGTCGTTTAATTGTCACATCGATATTCTCCTCAGGATGCCCAAGGTAAGGAGGTATGAAAGGGGCAGCAGGACGTGAATGCATGCGGGCATTGACACATGCGTGTGTGGGTGTGTGTGTTGGCACTGCAGGATTCGAACAAACGCGGCGGCACAGGGCCGACGGGTCCCTACTCCAAAAACAAGGTACATACCGCTGAGAGAGAGAAGCCAGCCAGGCGTCAAGAGAAAGAAAGGGGATGGCGGGCACGCAGCAGGGCCATACGATGGATGCATATCCTATCAGGAGCCGCGCAAGTCCCAGTACCAGTTGCGTGGCGGCCGCGGGAGCGACGAGGCGCTCCTGGCGGGCATCGAGTCCGACCGTCGGCTGTCCAAGGAGCCGCGGCAGTTGCAGGCGCAGGCGCAGCAGGCGCTCAAGGAGTTGCAGCAGTCCAACGCCAAGGCCCGTGACCTGGCGCTGGGCGATGGGGCGGCCCGGCTCAAGTCCCTGGCGCCTGACCTGACCCCCCAGGAGATGCAGGACGGCCACATGATGGCCCAGTACCCGTCCGTCAACCTCGCACACGGACAAGGCGTAAGTCAGCGAAAGGAAAAAGAGAGGGCGGGTTTAGGAGGGAGAGATGCGTGTGGTCATGTCATGTGGGTGGTGTCTGTCAACTCTAACAGGACCGGTATGCCGTGTCTGTGGGGTTTCTGAGCAACTGTGGCGACACCTTCAAGGAGTTGCGCGGCTACACCGTGGATCGCATCTTCGACGCCTCCAGCCGCATGTCTGTGTGCAAGGAGGCCCTGCCGCTCGCCGTGCGGCTCCTCGACTACTACGAACACACACGTGAGTGGACTGAGTGAGCCATACTGACCACACGACAGACGCCAGGCACCACGGTCACCGCAGTCACCGCACCACAGCCACCGCACATAGCCACAGACGTCTGTCTTAATTAATTGCCTCGTGTGTGTGTGTCATTGGTGTCAATCAGTGTGGGCCAAGGGAGAGAATTTGTTCCACCACAACCTCGTTGCGGTAAGTACGACCATACACACACCGCACTCACTCACAAAACGCACAATCACTCACACACATACACATGTGTGTTGTTTATGTGTTGTGTCATCCGTCCACCCACCAGGTGGGTTACACGTGTTTGCTGATAGCGTCCAAGTACGAGGAGCGCCTGCCGGTGGTCATTAACGACCTGGTCACCCTCATGAACGAGGTGCCCATGGACAAGAGGGACCGCACCTACACGCGCATCGACTTCCTCAGGATCGAACAGCACATCCTCATGTAAGTGGAGTGGGCCACACACATCACATCCACACACGTGGGAAGAGCCAGCCCTTTCTCCCCGTCTCTCTCATTCAACCAACGTATGTGTGTTCTGTGTGTTGTGTGGTGTTTAGGACGACCGGGATGGAGTTGCCGAGCTCAACCTACTGTGCGTTCAGCGACCGGTTCGCCAAGGCGGGCGGCATCCCTCCGGACACTAAGGACCACGCATTCGTGCAGTTCCTCCAGGTGCGTAAACACGCACACGCACACAGACAGACATACAGACAGACGGATGGATGGATGGACGGATGTGGTGTGTGCATCTTACGTACCTGCCATGGGGTCTCTCTCTCTCTGTGTGTGTGTGTGTGCAGGAGTTGGCGTTGACGGACTACACATTCTCTCAATACAAATCCAACATCATCTCGGTATGTCCGTCAGCCCACTTCACTTGAGCCGCACACACGCCATCCATACGTTCAACACACAACACACCCGACATCCATCCATCCATCCATCCCTTTGTCAGGCTACGGCGGTGTACATGACTCGCAAGATGTGGCTGCTCCGGGAAGGACAGCCCCGACACGGAGAGCCCAGCTGGGTCAGTCAGTGAGTGAGGCGATGGGAGGGGGGCCACACATTAACCGACACGCAGGACACGACACATGTGTGTGTGTGCGGCTGTCTACGTGCCTTCCTCTTTTTTCTTGTGTGTGCAGACGGAGGCGTTGAAGCGTGTGACGGGGGTGCAGAAGTCTCAGCTGACTTCCTGCAGGGACGAGATGGCCAGACTCCTCCGATCTCTGAACAGGCCGCACATAGCCATTGTACGAACGCCAAACCTCACACAGCACAGCAGCTGCAGTGCAATGACTGAATGGTGGATGGCGCCACTGCACTGCCCCTCTGTGTGTGCATCTGTGTGTGTGTGTGTGTGTGGTTGGTGGCTGGTGGCTGCAGGGCAAGCAGGACGCCTGCATTGCCAAGTGGTCGACGCCGGCCAACTACAACATCGCTTCGGTCTTCTCCGACTGATAACCCCACCCATAAACACACATACGCCTCCACACCATGTGAGTGAGCCAACGCCACCATACCCCAGGCCACCGCCCCCCCGCCTGGCCCACACGCGCGCACTGTCGTGTGTTGTGTTGTGTTGTGCTGTGTGCAGATGGATGCGATACATACGGGTAGCTAAGCTGCCAACGTCCGTCTGTCCGTCTGTCCGTCTGTCCGTCTGTCCGTCTGTCCGTCTGTCCGTCTGTCTGTCTGTGAGAGTGGCATGCAATGGAATGAAATGTTGGCGCAAAAGTGCTCGTCTGTCTGTCTGTCTGGTTGGCTGGCTGGCTGGCTGGCTGATTCTTCCCCCATCCCCACACCCTACCGCCCCCCTGACCAACTCACCTGTTGACCGACCGACCTTGATCCAAGCGCCGCACCACATCAACCACACACACACGGAGACACACAGAGAGGGGCTGGGAGGGAGGGAGGGATGAATGGAGGCTCGTCCTTCTGTCTGTCTGTCTGTCTGCCTGTCTGCCTGCATGTCTGTCTGTCTGTCTGTCTGTATGGCGTGCAAATGTCTGTATGTCTGTCTGCCTGCCTGCTGGGCCAATGACCGACCGCCGACACCCATCCATCCATCCAGGAGGACCCACTGTAGCCATAACATGACACGACCCTCTCTCTTTCTCTGTGCCTGCTTGTTTTGGCCTCACCCACACACGCAAAGCCAGGCAGACACAACACAGGGAAGGGCGCCGAGGCAGGCAGGAAGGAGTGAGTGGAGGAGTAGCTGACTGAATTCATGCCACCCAGCGAGTGGACTGGACGGAGGGGCCGGCAGGGCAGGGCCCTGCGGGCAGGAAAGAGAAGGGAAGGACAGCAAAGGGACGAATGGGGCGACAGACTGCATGGGGGTTCGGTTCTCGGTCATCCAGCGGCTCACGAGAAGCGCACCGAATCGCGTGGCATCGTGAGCTGCCCGATCGACGGACGAGCACCTACCTCTCTGTGTGACTCTCGCCCTCCCTCCCTCTGCCTGCCTGGCTGCCTTAATTCGTTGATGGCGCTGCATGCCGCCTTTGGTGAGTGGCCATTGTGTGCCGTGGTGCGTGTCGACACACACAGCTGTCTGTCTGTCCGTCTGTCTGCACGCATTCATTCATTTGTGGTGTTAGTTGTCAGTGCTGCCAACACGTTTGGCTCGCTGGCTGACCGATTGATTTGTCGATGGCCTTTCTTCCTCTCTTTGTCTGTCTGTCTGTCTGTCTGTGATTTATGTCTGTCGTGTAGTGAGTGGAGTACCCGGCCGACAGACTGTCCGCCTTTTTTGTGTCTGTGGTGAGTGAGTGCCTTTTATTTCTTTGATGGCCGTTTAGTGAAGAGATAGAGGCCATCCATCCATCCATCTGTGTGTGTGTGTGTGTAGTGTGTTGTGTGTCATGGTGCGGCTGGATGGATCGGTCGGTCGGTTTTGGTGTGTGGGCTGGGGGGCCATACATTCGTCGATGGATGGACGGATGGTGTGCTTATAGGCGGCATGGCGTGGCGCATTCATTTCGTTTTCGTTGGTTGGTTCTTTGAAAGAATTGAAGCGGCTGACAATGGCCGCTCCTGTTGGTTTTTCCTTTCTTTTTCTTCTTCTTTTTCTTGTTGTTCTTCTTCTTTTTTAGCGGCCGACACTGGCTGCCTCTCTGCTTCATTTGTTTTTGCTACTTTAGCCCCATGCCGACAGTGGCTGCAGTCCTGGTTGTTGCTTTTGTTGTTGTTGTTGTTGTTGTTTTGCAGCAGCAGGCGCTGAAGCGGCTGCTCTTTTTGTGTCGTCTTGTCTTGCTTACCGTTTCTTTACGTACACTCCAGCAGGTGAGAATGGCTGGCTGCACCTTTTTGGTTTTGTCCCCCCCCTCTCTGCCCGGCCTGCCTGTCGCCAATAGCTCACTTGTTCGTCCAGTCAGACACAATGGATGGCCCCACTGCCCCTCAATCAAGACCGACCGATTGGTTGGATGGATGGTATTTCTACTCTGAATGGATGGATGGATATGATTTGTGACCCCTCCCCATGCATCACACACACACACACCAAGCTTGGCCTTCTTCCCTCCCCTCCCCGACTGACTGGCTGGCTGGCTGGCTGCGCTGCTGCTTGTTGCCGTGTGTGTCGTTTTCTTTGGTGCAGCTGGGATGTACAATTAGGTGGGGCGCCGTTGACGGCCCACATATATATGAATGGACACCGACCGATGGCTGGATGGATGGATGCCCTCACACACACGGGGTGACGTGACATCTCTCTGTCTTACATACACACTGGCTATTTTTGGTTGGCTGCCGTCTGTATGTGTGCTGGCTGATGTCGTGTACGTGGACCGGATCGGGCAGGCGGTGTGAGACCGAGCGTGAGACAAACGAAACCTTTGAAACAATGAATGCGGGAAGTGAAGAACGAAATCGAAAGGGCACAGGGCGCTTTCTTTGCAAGGGAGAATCGCACCCTTTGTGAGCAGCTGACCTGCCAGCAGGGCCCGGTGGCAGCGTCAATATCGAGAGAAAGTGAGGGCTGCGTGCTCACGTGTTGATGGACATTTCCAATCAAGTCTTGATGTCTCATGGAACACACGACACCTCACCGCCCCTCCCCGCGCGATGGTCCAGAGACAGGGCAAGAAATCGAGGGCTGCAATTCGTATTCGACACGTCATTTGCGACGACACATGTGTGATCGGTCCGGTCTCACTGTCAGACCACATGCACTCAATGCCTCCTAGCTTCTCACCTAATGCCCTAAGCAGCTTCTCCTAGTGCTCGCATGAACAAATAACAATTCCTCGCGATGTTAATACGCTTGTACGGTTTCATGATATCGATTATCTCCTGCTTGCCGTACTTGTGCGCCAATTCCCAGGGCGTTGCCGAAATATAGGGCTCGCACCACCCCTGATCTCGGTTGTCACGAGATGAGATGAGATGAGCACATCAGTCACTGAACCAATCGATATGATGTGACCATCTGTGTGTACTGACCCCTCTTTTTACGATGTCCAGAAGAGCACCACCACCCCACTCGAGCCTTTGAGAATGACACACACATACACAGGGAGTGAGTGGGGATGAGAAGTTGGCGACAGTCATGTGTGTCGCTCACAGCTGAGACACAGCTGCAGGCTGGTCATTGAACACAGCACAATGGAGTGGCGTCCGGCCGAACTGTGTGTGTCATACACATATGAAAAGGCAATCATCAATCAGATGAGAGGCATTCTTTGTGCAGTGTCTCCGACGTTGAAGGTCTCTGTGAGGAGCTTTTTCCCTCCTTTGGCATACAGGGCCTCCATCACATCGACATCACCCTCCTGGGCAGCCACCATGAATGGCGTCCAGCCATCCTGCAATCAACACAGACACACACACAATCGATACACTGAGGCATGTGTGTGCTCTGTTACATCGTTGGGTGCATCGAGCAGTTTGGGATCCCACTCCAGCAGCTGATTGACCACGGCAACACGGCCGTTTAAGACCGCATAGTGCATGACCGTGTAACCAATCTGCATTCCATCACAGCCGCACACATCTCATCATCACCTACAGCAGCACACAATATGGTTTGGCTGTGTCGACACCTTGGTGTCTGTTTGCTGCAGGACGTCAGGTTTGCTCTCATACATGACCGACATGATGCCCACGAGACCCCTTAACGCAGCTCGAAGGAAGGGTGTCAACTGTGCGCAGAAATGAGAACACACAGACAGACCACTGACTGCATTCCTGTCATCTTCACGACTGCATACCTTCAACTTGCTCTCGTCTCGTTTGTCGAGAATGTGATTGCCGTCCTTGCTGATGAGCAAACGAACCGACTCCTCATCGGCATCAAAGCCAGCATCGACGGCATCGAAGATGTCAGTCTGACACACGACAATGATATCGATAGTTCATTGGCGTGCGGTGTAGCCGATATGTTGCCTCTCTCTCACGTCCTCGATATGCAGCTTGGCAGAAGCGTCGTCTTTACTGACGTCTGATCAAGAGATCATAAGAAAAAAATTATTGACGATCTCCCTCCTGCATGCATATGTGTATCGTCGGGAGTCCCGCACCTTTGCCAACCAGGTGCAAGTTGTTTCTCGATTCACCTGCACGAATGACATCCGTACACAACTCCTTGAGCTGTCTGCGTGTGCGCTTACCTGTTGCAGTGGTATATGTCCCTTTGTACAGCTTGCCGGCCTTCCACGTGCCCTGAAAAGCAGAAGGGACACAGATGATGAAGTGGTTTAAGGGATTTGAGTCTCTCACGCACCTCGTAGCAGCGGCCGTCGGGCCACGAGAGTTTGCCCCATCCGTCTTTAAAGTCATGGCGGTATTTCCCCTCGTAGCGGCGTCCGTCGGGCAACTCCATGAGACCCTCACCGTGCATTTCGCCGCGATCATTATACTGCACGGCATAAGACACACGCAGGCGGGTGGGCAAGCCAGAAGACAGAAATGATGCGGCAGCAAGCAAGCAGGGGTTGAGTGTGCTGCGTATGACCTGTCCGATGTACATGCGGCCGTCGGTCCATTTGTACGTCCCGGATGCTTGCAGGTCGCCGCCCGTCCACTGGCCCTCCCAGGTTGAGCCGTCAGGAAACGTGAAGACCCCCTCACCGGGCTTCTTGCCGAGCCTGCAGCCCCCCAAACAACGAACGTAATCTACCTAGTGTGTCTCTGCCTGCGTGTCTCCCTGTTGATGTATTGATTGTGCGTTCACACCGGCCACACAGTGACTACCGTCTGTATTTCTCCATGATCTTTCTGTCCCGTTTGTTCGCATAGTCCCAGGGCGTCCTCCCCTGTCGTCACAAGACGAGATGAGCAATGGTGTGCATTTCTGTGTGCACTCACGAATCTGCCTTTGATGTCAAGGAAAGCACCGCCACCCCACTCCAGCCTAGGATCACAAGGAGAGAGAGTGGAGATGGGGTATTTCCGTCATTCATCTGAGCCTCACAGCTGAGTAACAGCTGCAGAGTGACGGCCGTATGCAGCACGATGGAGTGCCGTCCAGCGACGCTGTGTGCGGCATGGGAAAGGCAATAGATCAGATGAGAGACATACTCTCTGTGTGTCTCACAGCGTCGGTCTGCGTGAGGAGCTTTTTTCCTCCTTTGGCATACATGGCCTCCATCACATCGACTTTGCCATGGGTGACGGCCGTGAGGAATGGGGTCATGCCCATCTGGATCAGCACACACACACAATCGGCACACTGGGTCAGAGACATGTGTGTGTGGTTTGTTACACGGCTGCTGTGTGCGTCGAGCAGTTTGGAATCCCACTCCAGCAGCTGATTAACGGCTGCAAGATGGCCCCTCTTTGCCGCATAGTGCATGGCCGTGTAGCCAATCTGCATTTCATCACAGCCAACACACATCTCATCATCACCAACGGCAGCACACCTGATGATTTGGCTGTGTTGGTACCTTGGTGTCTGTTTGCTGCAGGACGTCAGGTCTGCTCTCATACATGACCGACATGATGCCCACGTGACCCCTCTGTGCGGCCACGATGAAAGGTGTGTCGCCAACCTGCAGTATACTCAAGTCGAGTGATCCTGCTGCAAGTGCAAGGGAGTCGAAGTGCTATTACATTTTGGCAGCGGCAGAGGCACTCAAATTCTTTCTCGTCAAGGATTTTCACTCCGTGCAGCTTGATCAGCTGAGCGACGGTCGCCGACGGATGTCAGGTGACCAGCTCTCACCGCAGCGTGGATGTTCCTCTACAAGACACATACAGGCGACCGTGTGAGGCGTTCAGCCGTGCTCTTTTATATCACCCGTTTGATCTTCGATATCACCGGGAGGGCTTTGTTGTCCACTCTTCGGACGGTGTCCGCCTGCATATTATGCGAGAGCGAAAGAGAAGAGTCTGCTATATGTGCCAGGACTCTGCTGTCTGTCTCTCGATGGCCCGCCCTCTCACGGATTTGGTCTGAGGCTCTGGTGCGCCTGCGCTCGGCAATGACTTGGCTGCTGCGTCAGGCTGTACATACCGACCTGCTTCCACTGACGGGATTACGGTCTCGACTGCTGTGAGGGCGGCCATGGAAGGGCGGCTGAGAGGTCTTGGCCACACTGCTTGGCGGCCCCGTTGTCGTGCTGGCCGTCCTCACGTGAACGCCCACCGCATGGCAGATGGGGGATAAAAAAGGGAGAAAAAGGGAGCAGTTAGAGTCTTTGCGCCTGCGCCGGG